GCCCTGCGCAATCCCTATGGCACTGCTCAGCCCCGTGGCCAGCAACACCAGGAAGAAGATGAAAGACCAGAAGACAGACAGGGGAAGGAAGGACATGGCTTCAACAAAGGACAGGAATACAAACTTTGGGCCCTCCTTAGCCTGCAAGCAGAGAACAAACAGGCGTTAAAGTATCATTGAACCAAACAATAAGAAAAAATACAGACAAGTGGACATTCCATCTTCCCTGGAAAACTCCCGAAAATTCCTAGATCACTGAGAAAATCAGATCTCCAACAGAAGCCTCTGACACAGAAAATCAATCCAGCTAGCGTTATCCATGGAAGGCCATTCCGCAAGCTATAGTACTTTGTGTTACTAGAGCTGCACATTATCCTGGTGCTTCCAGAATTTTCTTCTGGCTCTAAGAAAAGCTAAAATTGTGGCCGGGCGTGGTGGCTCACGCCTGTAATCTTAGCACTTTGGGAGGCTGAGGCAGGTAGATCACTTGAGGTCAGGAGATGGAGATCATCCTGGCCAACGTGATGAAACCGCCGGCTCTACTAAAAATACAGAAATTAGCTGGGCGTGGTGGTGCAGGCCTGTAATCCCAGCTGCTTGGGAGGCTGAGGGAGGAGAATTGCTTGAACCTGGGAGGCGGAGGTTGCAGTGAGCCGAGATCGTGCCACTGCACTCCAGCCTGGGGACAGAGTGAGACTCCATCTCCTTTAAAAAAAAAAAAAAAAAAAAAAAGCTAAACTTTCTGTTGTCCCAAAGGCTTTCAGGAACTCTCTGGCCACCCTGCCCCCAGCCCCAGCTATTTTTTCTGACCTTAAAAAATTGAGTCTCTATGTTGCACTCAGACACCTCGTGGAGAACCATGCTTCTGATGCTCGTGGGAAGGCCACTGAGCCAGGTGTTGTAGACAGAGGTCGGGTTTTCATGCAGGCTGGCAGGGGGGCTGGCGGCAGGAGGCAGTTTCCCCAGGGCTATCAAGTTTGAAAGTGTTTCAGCATTCCTGAGGAGAGGAGGTTGAATCAGATGGAACCATTTGGCCCAGTAGAAGATAGTCTCCTGTTCCCTTATCTTCAAGAGGAAAAAGGCTATCACTGGCTTAGCATTACTGATCCGGGCAAGATAGAGCTGGGATGAAACCTAAAAGGCACACACCTTCAGAGCCGTGAATTAGCTTGTGTAATCCTGGAGAACCTATGACCATGGGGGATCCTAGAAGTATTTTCTACAGTCTTCTTGGGGACTCTGTGGTCTCCGCTCTAGTGACGAGGTCTCTTATTCACTGTCTACCTTCCCTCTCCGCCAAGACTAATAGGTAAAAGTCAGCTTTCTAATCTTCCTATTGGCCAGGCACGGTGGTTCACACCTGTAATTCCAGCACTTTGGGAGGCCGAGGCAGGCAGATCACCTGAGGTCAGGAGATCGAGACCAGCCTGACCAACATGGAGAAACCCCATCTCTACTAAAAATACATTAGCTGGGCGTGGTGGCACATGCCTGTCATCCCAGGTTCTCAGGAGGCTGAGGCAGGAGAATCACTTGAACCTGGGAGGCAGAGGTTGCAGTGAGCCGAGATTGCGCCACTGCACTCCAGCCTGGGCAACAAGAGTGAAACTCTGTCTCAAATAAATACATAAATAATTAATAATAAACTTCCTATTATGGCATGTCCAGGAGCACACAGACTATGATGCACATAATGTTCCCATGGAGTTGTGCTATGTGAGAGCAACTGATGCCTGGACATTTTGCTGTGAGCCCTGCTGACCATTTTGGCCTCACAGTCCCCTGTGGCCCTCTGCACATTCCATGTTCTGGCCAGATTTAACTACTTCCAGCTTCAGGGCCCATAATACCCTCTCCTCTCACACACAAGACCAACTCCACCCCACCACCGTTCTTCACTTGGCAAACTCTTACAAATCCTTAAAAATTCAGCTCATTGCACTTTAGAACTGCCATGGACGGCTTGCCAAGATTCACTGATAAAAGCAAAAGGCAAGCAAGTAGAGTTTGATCACATTTTAGAAAATAAAATACTATATGCTATCCCAGTACTAAGCTACAGATTTGAACCAATTTTCTCACTGGAAATAATTTAAAAGGCTGGAAGATATTTTAAAATCTTCTAATGAAATAAAAATGTTGACAAGTTCATAAAGAATTATCAAGCAAAAATCGAAGTATAGGCAAAGCAGTGGAGAAAGGGGCCTTCCAAAGACACTTTGTCCCAAAGATGTATGCCAAATACAACAAACTGCACCTGCAGTTTCTGATTGTATGACTTTTCAGATATAAAAGGAGGCCATGGAGGCCAGATATAAAACACCAGAGCCGGCCAGGTGCAGTGGCTCACACCTGCAATCCCAGCACGTTGGGAGGCCGAGGCGGGCAGATCACTTGAGGTCAGTAGTTTGAGACCAGCCTGGCCAACATGGTGAAACCCCATCTCTACTAAAAACACAAAAATTAGCCGGGCATGGTGGTGCAACCCTGTAATCCCAGCTACTCAGGAGGCTGAGGCAGGAGAATCACTTGAACCCAGGAGGCGGACGTTGTGGTGAGCTGAGATCATGCCATTGCACTCCAGCCTGCGCAACAAGAGCAAGACTCTGTCTCAAAAAAAAAAGAGAAAAAAAATAGACATGTTAACTAATGATCCTGAAAAAAGCCCAGAAACACCTTGTGGTCAACTAATTTTCAACAAACATACCAAGGCAGTTTAATAAAAAGAGAATAGTCTTATTAAAAAATAGTGCTAGAATAACTGGATATCTAAGTAGAAAAAAAAGTAGGCAGGGCGCAGTGGCTCATGCCTATAATCCCAGCACTTTGGGAGGCCGAGGCGGGCAGATCATGAGGTCAGGAGATCGAGACCATCCTGGCTAACACAGTGAAACCCCATCTCTACTAAAAATATGAAAAAATAGCCGGGTGTGGTGGCACACGTCTATAGTCTCAGCTACTTGGGAAGCTGAGGCAGGAGAATTGTTTGAACCTGGGAGGTGGAGGGTGCAGTGAGCCTAGATCGTGCCGTTGCA